TGTTAGTTTACTGATATATTACCCGATATGCATATCAGCTAACTAATAGGACTATATAGGTACATTCTATTATTTTATCATTATTCATGTATTCGACCTGTAGTAGTGACCCCAACCATTTTAGTTATACTCTAGTACTATCCCAGTAACACCTTCACATTACAACTCTTATTTTTATCTACTACCCTTACAAATTTAACATTCACAATTATAGAAAATTGCTATTTATACACCTCATTTTTGCTAATCATACTCCCACCCCTGTAAAAAATATTTAACTATATATTACACAATATAATTGTAATACAAAACAATATGTGGACTGTGTACAAATAATATTCATATAACTCAAAGCATAAAATTAACTTCTTTTATTACATTAATAATCAATTATTTACATATAAGAAAGTATAACTAGCAAAAATGAGGGGTATCAATAGTAGTGCCCATCATTCTGAACTTTTGGATTTTACTTTTCCGGTAACTACATATTATTTTGGTTACAACATCTAAATATAATAACATTTGTAACAATTAAATTAAACATTTTTAGTCTATGTGATGCAAAAAACGATTCTAGTTAAACTAATATCTTGATAATTGAACAGCTTATTTTTTAACAATGTTGATATGTCTAAAGTTAGTTTGATACCAGGAACAGAGTGATGAAATCATGAAGTGTATGGTTTACCAAAACGAGAAATGTCATGCATCTACCAAATATTAAACCTTATTGGTCAGCATGATCATATCCATCACACAGCCACTATGTTTCTATCAATAATCAAGATTTCAACCATTTCATATATTCCCATGCAGATTGTATAAAGCCATGCACTTACACATTAATCTGTCTTATAAATGTTGTCATAAATTCTGGAACTTCTAAAAATTTGCTCATCTCCTGAAACTTATTTGATCTCATTCTAAAAATTACCTAATTTTTTGAAAGCTAATTGACTGTATCTGTATCGAAGTTTCAAGAACAACGAATTAGTTTCAGAAAAGCAGATGATTTTTAAAATAAGATCGAAGAGGTTTCAGGAGATGAGCAAATTTTCAGAAGTTCCAGAATTTATGAAAACAATTGCAAAAGTCATACCAGGAACAGAATGTTATTGTATAGCATAACATGTAGTGTATGATTATATAGTATGCATACACAAAATCTTCAATTTGATTGGTTTATAGGGTAGGTAATGTAAAACACCCTCAAGCTTCATGGATGGCTGCATCACACTATTTGGGATGTCCCAAACTATGTGATGAATAGCATTACACGATTTCAGCAATAACAGTAAGGAGGTAAATACCTTATATGATATTATTTATCACATAGTTTGAGCAACATTGCTACTGGAAGTATCGGTATGAATTAAGTTGGTCTAAGCCACACCTCGAAGTAAGATGAGTATGATGTCCAGAATTATGCAATACAAGTGATATAAATTTGATCTATTATAGTAATTTTCTTAAGAATCTAATTAAAAAATTTTTTTTGGCCTTGCTCATATTTTATGTTCATTCAGGATCTAAACCAGACCCTTACAGAATTAAGATCACAACTACTTAGAAAGATGGGTACTTCTGAGTAAGAGTAGATGCCACACATGGTACTAGTATGTACTAATTGATAATGTCTCGCTGCCTAAAAGCAATATTATTATCTTGTTTCTGCGTGTTATGAACATGAATATTGCCAAGAGAGTTATTACTTAAAGGTCTTAGTCCTTGAAAATCTGAAATAAATACATATAGCTTTATTTTTGTTCACAATTTCCGTTCCTGGTTTTGTGCATTGACATTACACAGCTATCTAGTTTGGAACTATATTAGCTAAAAAATATTTTTGATTAAATGCTTTGTTCAGAAGATTGACTTTGAGTAATTAAAAACTCATTTAACAGGTTCAGATTTGAATAAAGACGAATTGAGTTTAAATAATATTCTTGCCTTATGTCAGAGAGGTTCATAAAATAAAAAGGTCTCAATTCTATATATAGTCCTATCTTATTTCATAATAAAGTCAGAAACATTACCAAAAATAAGCGAGTTATATGTCAATAAGCTAATCAGATTACAAATTTCAAATAGTAAAACATATTCTTTTTTCGGGTCTTATACACTTTAGCTTATAGAGTTAATCTTGATGAGATCAATATGAATCATAAAACTATGAGTGCTTCACTTTTCATCTATAAAGTTTTTTGTTACCAACAGATACTGCAAAAAGCCACAAATGTAACTGAAAAGTATGATTATAATTTAAGCAAAATCAATTATCATTTTTGGTATGTACTTAAATCATAATGATATTTGAATACTTATCAACAAACTATGTTAAAGAATTCTTTTATTTTTTTTTCTAATTGATCGCATTATTAAGTATTGGTATAATTAAAATTTGTATTGATATACTGATGCCAAAAACATACATAATTCTATAATCACAAAGGTCATTGTCTATGTTTCTGGGTTTTACATATTAAATTAGTTCGATTTGAATCAAAAGATCGTAATTTATTCTATTTTTATAATACTTGATCAGATTAACCTATTCTTGGATCAGATCGATGAGCCAATTTAACATTCTTAACCATGTTATACAACTGCCTTATTAAATAAATGCCTGAGGATACTAAAGTGACAAAGTGTGTTCTTAAGCATCTTTAAAATTTACCATTAATAAAGATTGCTCAAGCACTACTGATTCTTAACAGATTTTTAACTGATCTAAAAAAAAATAGTTATCATATTTTAATGCTAGAAGTCTTTAAATAAATTGGTATTTTAATATGAATGTAGTAAATAAGACTCATCTTTTAACATTTAATCAAGCTAAAATTAATAGTTATTCTTTACTCATTCGCAAAAAAAAAAAAAATTTTACTTGTTACTGCACAAAAAAAAAACTTCTTGTTGCTGTATGTAAAAAAAAAAAAGAAAAAATTTTTGTTGCAAAGCAACTTTTGTTAATGATTTCATAAATTAGTAAAATCTTTAAAAAGAGAAGCTGATGCAAATGAATTTGAAACTTTGACAGCTAGTTGAATAAAATTTGCTTGATATTTGTGTTTTAGAAAGATTACAAAAAATAGAGTATGCTCAAACATTTAAATTTACAAATGAGTGTGGCCAAGGGAAACCTTAATGTAAACTTTTATAGTTTATTATTCAGCGAACTTAGCTCATAACAATCATCAGTGATTCATTGGTGATGACCGTTTTCTAGTGTATCCTGATTACACAATTAATCATAATATTGATATTTTATTTTCTTTTGTACTAGAAGACTGTCATTAGTAATGAATCACTGATGATTTTTAGTTTGAGGTTTTTTCTTGGCTGCATGCATATAGTTATCAAAACATCTAGAAATTAGTTATATATGTGATTCAATTATGTAATGCATATTATTTATTGAGGTTAAGTTCACTAAATAATAAACTATAAATGTTTATATTGATGTTTTTCCTTAGCCACACTCAAATAGTGTTCATTATTAATTTTGATGCTTAAGCATCATCATGATCATTATTTAATTAATTGATTTGAATATCTGAAAACATCACAAATAATTCTTATTAATCAGTTTTACATATGTCTAATTGAACTTGTAATGCGGTTTTTGACTAATCTTTCAACAGTACCATAAGGAATGGTTATTGACTGTGATTTGAAAAAGTAAAAATTTATGTAATAAAATCCACTTATTTCAAGCATCCCAAAATTACTTTAAGTTTTTTTAAAAAAAGCGAAATTGAATAAAATATTATTGTTTCTAACTTAAATATTAATAGCTATATTTGTATAGATTTTATTGATTGTTGACTAATTGTAATTATGATAACATATTCATGCCATTCATTAAATAGTAATGCATCAATTAGTGATGCAAAATCATAAAGTATTGTTGTGTGATGCATAAAATGAAGTAATAATAGCTTTTATAAGTCAGAAAAAATAGAGTAATAGTAAGTGCTCTTAGTATAAAAAATAATAAAATACTTTCCTGCCATAACAATAAATTTTTTAAAATAAACCTTTTCAATCTAAATATGCTCTCACCACCTTTTACAATATATGAAAATGCTATTGAACTTTTTTAAAGTGCACAAACATTCGCTAATTCTTAAGGTTATGTATTGATAAAAAAAAGAACACATAAAAACAAATGTGGCAATTTGAAAAATATGACATTGTGTTGTGATCGGGATGGAGTTTATAGTAGCTCAGGAATACATCAAAGACAAACAAGTACTTGGTTAATTGATTGTCCATTTGAATTATATGCTGCTCGGCATAATAATTTATGGCATATAAAAGTCTGTGATAGTAGTTATAACCATGACCTTTCAGAAGATTTATCAGATCATCCAATGCCTTGTAAATTTACAAAGCAAAGTTAGCAAATATTGCAGAAATGACTGCCTCTGGTTCATGTTCCCAGAAAATAATATCAACTATTCATCAAAATGATCTGTCAGCATTAGTAATAAGTAAAGATGTTTATAATACATGTGAATGACTTCACCAACAAAATTTGGTAGGTCGTACCCCAGTTGAAGCATTAATAGATGAGCTTAGAGAAGATGATTATATATATAAATACAAATGTGATGATATAAGTTATATTACTCACCTTTTCTTTACATATAATGAATTGGTCATGCTCACTCGTCAATATTCTACTGTTTTTCTTATAGATTGCACTTATAAAACTAACAAATATAAAATGCCTTTGCTGAATGTTGTTGGCATAACTAGTTTCAATACTACTTTTTTTTATGCTTCATCTTTATAAAAGACAAAGATGAAGAAGATTACCTATAGGCATTAACTTGTATCACTGAATTATTTGATAGAATATTAAGATCCTGTGTTATAGTAACAGATAGGGAGTTAGCCCTTATGAATGCACTTATAAAAATGTTTTCAGGTTCAACAAATTTATTATGCCTATGGCATATTAATAAAAACATAATGAAAAATTGTAAGTCTCAATTCAAATGAAATAATGAGTGGCAGGACTTTCTTTTAAAATGAAATAATATTGTTTATTCGCAGACAGAAGAAGAATTTAATATGAAGTGGAAAGATTTTCTTAATACTTATATAAATAAACTGTGCATTATTAGTTATCTTGAAGAAATTTGGATGCCTTGGAAAAAGAAGTTTATAAAAGCATGGACCAATAAATTTCTTCATTTAGAAACAACTGTTACTTCTAGGGTTAAAGATGCCCATGCAACATTAAAAACATACTTACATACATCAGCGGGTGATCTTCATATCATTCGTATAAAATTTCCTTGGCTGTAGAAAATCAAAAAAATGAAATAGATGCTATGACTGCATCACAAAAAATCTGTTTTCCAATTTTTGTACACAATAATCCTTTATACATAAATATTAAGTCAAAGTTTTTACTTTTGCTTTTAAAAAGGTAGATGAACAGTATCGAAGATTAAAATGTGTTACTATAGAAGATCCCTTACTACCATGCACGAAGTCATTCTCAAGCACAATGGGATTACCTTGTGCTCATAAAATCCAACTTCTTGAAAATAATCAAGGTTTAATACTTTTAGATTTTCATGAGCATTGGTGGATTCAGGTAGCATTTCAAATTGAAAATCAATTAGTTGATCAATTGCAACTAATCAAATAATAGTTTTATCAAATAACTAATTGATTGATAATAAGTAACTAATTAGTTGCCTTTAATATATCAACTAATCAATTAGTCAATTAATCAATTAATTAACTAATCAATTAATTGATATTAATTGATTAGTTGTCAATAATTGATTTTTTAAAAATTTTTGGCCAACTAATTTGATTGCATTTTTTTGGTTTGACTTGGAATACTAAATTTAGGACCACTCATCAATACCACCTGTTGAGACAAACATTCATGAATTACAGCCCCTTTTGCAAACTTTACAAGAAAAATATAAAGAATGACCAAAACATCAACAAGTGGCTGTACAAGAGAAATTGAATAATATGATTAATACCCCATAGATGACTTTGCAAAATTCTCAAGTTGTTTATACAAGGTGAAGACCTCCTGGTGCCCTAAATTGCAGAACAAATAATTCAACCAGAAGAAATCCCTTTGGGTTTGAGTTGGTGGACTGTAGAGTAAGATGATGCATTCACTGTAAACAGCCTGGACACTATGCTAGCACTTGTCCAAATAGAAATTAATTTCATTTCGTTAATATAAATGATTTAGTGAATACATATATTACAGATGTTGTCATAATTCAAATAAGGAAATTTTAACAATGAAAATAATTAATATGTAATTATTGTTAAACTTCCTTTTTTGATTTATAATGGAATACGTTTGTCAACAATTAATCATGTTGTTATAGGTGAAAGCCTTCTTAATTTTCACACTATAATGATGACATGGCACAGAGAATCTCTTATGGGTATATGCAGTGTCCAAGAGGGAAGTATAGCTTCTGTTAGACATTGTCAAGAAACTATACCCTTCTCTGAG